CCCCCCCCCCCCCACCCCCCCTCTCCCCCCCCATATGGTGGTCGAGTAGATTATGTTGTGCGGGGTCGAGAACCCTCACTCCGCGCAACAGGGACAATCGCACCATGTTGTGTTAAAATTGGTCAAGCACCATCGAGGCAGTTACCCAGCGCTTATAACTGTCTCTGGAAGTGAAAGCAGCAGAAAATAAATTAAGTCATACGCAGCTGTCATCCGTAGGCAAGGAAGTAAGCACAAGATGCCGAACACCCTTAGCAGGATGCAGCTCACCCTTCATGCGACTCGCCGAATACCTAACGGCGCTTCGCGCTTGGTAATGTGAGAGCCTGGTCCGGTGAGAACCCCGCGTGCTCCGTCCCGGCTTTGTAGGGATGCGAGGTCAATGGTCTAACGACTACGGCATGCACGACTATGAGTACACCCCACCCCCTCTCTCGTTCTCCGCCTCCGGTCAGGTCAGTACCGTCATTGTCACAGAGCCCGCGAACGCCGGCGCCGCAGCCGCGGGGAACAACCGCCGGGCCGGCCCGCACGACTTCGTGCGGGTAAAATTGACCCGCAGGCGCCGAGGCAGCACCAGCGGCCCGGGTGGGAATGTTACAGGCGCCAATCCAGACCCACCACCGATGGAATGCGCGGCTTGCCTCGGGCAGTGGGACACCGGGGGTTCCGCCATGAATCGGTGGTACCGGTGCCGCCGCTGCGGGGGCACGGTGCACGGGGCGTGCCGGCAGTTCTTTCAGGCGGGGGAGGCGTGTGCTGAGCAGAGGGGGGAGGGGGGTCTCGCGAGGCCGGCGGGGTGGCGGGACCCTGTGAATCGCGCCGGCGTTGTGCAGGTGTGCTTTGGGCTCGGGAGGAGACGGACTGACTGCTTTCTCTTAAGGACGGTTTTTCGTCCTCCTTGCGCTGACGTGTGCGGTAGTGGTCAAGGGGATGTTGGGGGTGCTGTTGCGATGTGGGTTTGTTCTTGTTCTGTGGTTTGTTGTCATTGTTGTCGCTTCTGCTGTTGTACTTGTTTGTGGTGATGATGATGCCGTTGCTCCAGTTGTTGCAAGTGCTTCCGTTGTGGCGTGACATGTTAACTCGTTGCCTGTGTGGACGTGTACCCCCTGCGGGTCAGGTGGGAGTTCTTCAGGCCTTCGACCTGTCCCTGAAGCCTGGAGAGAGCGTCTACGTCGCCCTGCGTCTACTGCCTTGGGAAGAGAGGGTCAAAACCGGGTGAGATATTTCAGTGGTGTTGGTTGGAAATCAGCAAAAAAAAGAAGACCTAATAAAATTACAAATACGAATTGCAAAAAACTTACTCGCGTAATGACTAATTTTGTATCTCGGATAAGTTTTCGTGGCTGGCTCATCTCGTGCCCACTACTGCGTGCTGCGAAAGGTTGTCCACTGGTTGCTGCACAAGGTAGCCTTGAATTGAAGCGTCTGGGTGACGGGGGCACCTCCCCCCTCATGTGCGGCACCGCAATCCTGTTTGTTTGCTTTTTTTTCCCCGCGAAACGTGAAAATGTGTTGTGAAATCACCCAGGTGAGTTTTTCTTTGTTCGTGCTGCCTGTATTCAGTAGGCCGCGTTGTTGCTTTTGGGGTTGTACATGTCCGAACGGCTTCCAAGGAACGTCCGCTGGCCTCTTTGATGCCTCAACCTCTGCTACCCCGTTTCCCGCTTACTCCGGAGTATAATCGAGACCGCCAGATTGATTTATCTAGTTACGCGAGATGCGTGCGGATGGTTTTGCTTCTTTACCCACCCCAAAAGAAACCGCCGTCCTCCGTTTCTATGCTCCCGTAGCCTCACCACAGTGCTCCCCGATTTACTCTGCCTATTCTGTTCTTTGTTCCCTACTGGGTGAAGTTTTTTCTAACCCCCTTATTTTTGTGGTCAACGCCCGTAGACCTTCTCATGCCAATGCATTCAACCCTAACTTCTTGTTTATTGTCCTTCATGCAAAACATATAAGTACCCCGCCCACGCCCCGCCCCACCCCCCCGACGGAAGGTCGGCTAAGTGGGGAGAAATTGGCGCGTCCTGGCCGTCGCAGGTCTCCGCAAGGCACGACCTCCTTCACCTCTACAACAGCGACGCCACACCGGTGCCGACCCTGAGGGTAGAGGTCTGGAGGTCCGCCATGCGAGTGCTCGACGACCTCCTCGGGTGAGGGAGCAGTCACGTGGCAAACCATGATGGCACACGTGCCACGGCATTGTGTGTATGTGCGTGCTGACGTGGTAGACGCAACGCACGCTTTGCGGTGTGTGTATAGTGCACATGCCACGGCAGTTTGTGTATAGTGCGTACTGACGTGGCAGATGTTGTGCACGTTTGTAATAGTGTGTGTGTATACTGTCGCGGGGAATACAAGAAAACACTGCGGTGGTATGCATGTGTGTGTGTTTGCGCTTGCTTTTTTAGCATCGACCGTGGAGACCCGGCTGACTAATGTCAAAACGCCTGTGTTCTCGCGGAGCAAATATGAAATGTCACTTCTTTTGCGTCCCCCTCCCCCC